TGAGGTGAGTTTCTATTCTTTTTAGAGGAAATATTCCGCCTTTTTAATATTTCCCAGGATATTTCAGTTTTCTAGGGGAGGGGTGGGTGCTAACTTCCTACAGACCAATGAAGGATTTTCAGGGGCAGAAGATCCGGTAGCCTAGCTACAATCTTTATGAGATAAGCATGGAATGTACTTTTGGTTTTAAACTGCTGTACTGCTCCTTCAGATTTCCCCACCCCCCCCCCTTGTTTATGGCAACTTGAAACCAGGCATAGGAATGTTTTATGAGTTGATAGTATGTCTGAACAGGAGGTGACATCATGATGATGATGATGATGTGATGGTGATTGTTATTGTTATCATTGGTGGGGGTGCGATGGCTCAGTGGTCAAGGATACTGAGCTTGTCAGATTGAAAACTGACAGCCCAGGTTTGAGACCTGAGCATTGTGCGGGGGTGAGCTCCTGTTCTTTGCTCCGGCTCCTGCCCATCTAGCAGTTTGAAAGAATGCAAATGAGAGTAGATAATGCGTACCACTTTGGTGGGAAAGTAACAGCATTCCATGCACCTTGGCATATAGTCATGCTGGCCACATGACCATGGAAATTCTTTGGACAATTCCTAGAGTTGGACATGACTGGACAGGGGAAACTTGTATGATTATTAGATGGATGATTGGTGCTTCTTTTTCATTCTATAGCAAACCCATTCCATTTTTAAGGTTTTACTGAAAAAACTGCAGTTCTGAGAAGCACAGATTTGTTCACCTTGTTTCACCATGTGTATTTTTATCTATTTCCCTGCCTTTGTTACTTTTACAAACAAGGGAGCAGAACGTATGCAGCACACACCTTCCTCCTCCTATTTTCCACACAACAACCCTGTGAGTTGTGTTGGGCTGAGGGATGGGCCCCAAAGTCAGCGTGAGATGATCAAGAACAAGGGACTTCAAACTTGGCACGTTTTAAGACTTGTGGACTTCAACTCCCAGAATTCCTGAGCTAACATGACTGGAGGAGGAATTCTGGGAGTTGAAGTCCACAAGTCTTAAAGCCGTCGAGGTTTTAAAACCCCCCCCCCCTCTCTGATCAAGACAATCAACTCAGTGACACAACCTGATCGCAGTCATTCTCCTCAAAGGAAACAGAGAAGGAAGCCCCTTTCTTAGCAAGTCGCCCATTGGCCCTGATGATGTTACCTAGTCGGGTCATGAGACATCTGCAACAAAAAGCACCAAGCTCGTTGGGGGAGGAATTTTGGATATGGGATTGATTTAGAGAAATGGTAAAAATTATGGTCGCAAAATTATAAAATGACAATGTCAACAGCTTATAAAGAAAATCTGTATAAGATGTTTTACGGGTGGCATTTTCCCCCAACAAGGATAGCAAGAATGTTCAAGAATAAATCTGAAAAATGCTGGAAATGTCATCAGATACCTGGCTCATACTACCATATGTGGTGGACTTGTGAGGATGCTAGAAAATACTGGACTAAAATCCGCATGTGGTTGGAAAAAATGACAAAGAAATACATAGATTTGAAACCGGAGTTCTTTTTATTGGGAATCTTACCACATGCATATAGTAAAGACTTGAAATATCTGATTGTAAATGTATTAACTGCGGCTAGGATTGTATTTGCTAAAAATTGGAAAAATGAGAAAATTCCATTGCAGGGAGAAATTATTAAGAAAATATTGGAATGTGCTGAGATGAGTAGATTGACATTTGAAATTAGAGAGCAAGAAGATAAACAATTTTATAAAATTTGGGACCTTTTCTATCAATGGTTGGATGATATAATACAATAATAGAATATTTAGAATGTTAGATAATAAGGAATATCTTTGTTTTTTCTTTTTCTTTTGTTATTTGACATCATATCTATAAAGTGCTTTTTAGGATAGATTTGGTATGATTATATGATTTGTTATAGAATAATTACCTAAATTAGTTATCTCATAAAGTATGAATGAATAAAATTATAGTCAAATGATTTTTTAATAATGATATGAGGACATATAAGTTTGGATTGATAATGAGTTATTATGTAACATAACCGTAATTGAGACTACGAAATGAATGCACAAAACTGATGAACCAACCGACACACTGTTTGTATATATGTACGGAAGAGAGCTGATGTTTTTATGTTTTGTTTGTTTTTTAAAAAACCAATAAAATTGTTTTCAAAAAAAAAAAAGCACCAAGCTCAGAGAGCACCAAGGACCCCACGGCTCCACCCCGAGCTACGATTTTTTTATCCCACTGACTGACGCTTTGGCTCCCTGGCCAAATCGGGGAGTTGTTGTTACTTCGGGTAGGCTGGCGCCTCCTTCCTTTCCTGCAAGGAAGGACTTCCATTCTTTCTCGGGCTGCTGCTTCTTTTTTTCCCCGCAACGATCCTAAGTTTGCTTGGCATTGTTGTTCCCCCTCCCTCGGGCGGGTCGCGCGTGGCTTTGTTTTACAGACCGGGCCAGGAATCCACGCCCAAGAAAAGCGGAGAAAGAAAGGTGCGCAATTGCCAAGGTACCGCAAACAGAGCCTCGTTATTTGTTCCAAAATAATAATAATAAAAATAAAAATACTGGGCAACCGCTCCCCACCCACCGACTTCTTTGTCTCCGCCGAAGTAGAAAGCCTCTCCAAAGGGCCGCCCCTTTTTCCTCTGTCCGAAGACTCCTCCTCCACCACCGCCTCCCTCTCTCTCTCTCTCTCTCTCTCGCCCCCCCAGCCCAAAGTGCACGTGGCTCCTCGAGGCGGAGTGAAGACCGGAGGAAGACGCCACGCCTCCCTGGGGGTGGGGGGAGACTTCGACTTGAATGGGAAGGAGCGCGCAATCCTTCCAGACCCGCGCGTAGCTCGAACTGCACGAGCTGCGAGGCGCAAAGCACGCATGTCCAAAGTCAGTGGCAGTGGGAAGAGGTGGGGGGGCAGCGAGGGGAGGGGAGGGGGCAAGCGCCTTATTCGGACCCAGACCCGGGGATGGCAGTGAAGATGCCAATAAGGAAACCTTTCTCCCAGTTATGGTTAATTCGTGGCTTCTTCGAACGGCGCTGAGTCCTCCCTTTTGTTAGTTAGTTAGTTAGTTATTGATTGGTTGATTGTCAAGTGATTATAAAAACTTTATAAATTTATAAGATTATAAAATCCTTCCGTTGGCATCTTCGCCTGCTTCTCGGGGAGGAATGGCGTGTGTTGCGCCTCGCCAAACGGAGAAGCTGTTCGCGCGTTGGCCAAGCGCCTCTCGGCTTCTCTGCCAAGCCTCCTTTTTGGCGATCCATGCGTTACGCGTGCAACGGAGGTGAGAAATGACACGGACGAACACAACAGACGCGCGTGCTTGCGTGCCCAGCCTGGTGTTTTATTTATGGTACTGCAGCCGAAGTAGTGTTGTGGTGGTGGTGGTTGCTTTTGAACAAAAGAGGATGAAAAGACTGGAAAGGAAGAAGGCGTGTCTGCCTCAGAAGGGCACCACGCCTCTCTGACCTGCAATCCTTGGGCCAATTCTGCCCGGAGCCGAAAAAGACGTGTCCTACCCATTCTCTCCTCCACCTACATCCCCCGCGCACTCGGGGTTAGGGAAGCGATCCTAAAGCGCGTAATCAAGAGGTTTGAAAGGTCCCCAGCGCCGAGAGCTCTCCTCCCCCTTTCCAAGCCTGCAAAGGATCCGGTGGGTCGGGCTGGGCAGCGCATGTCACCTTTTTCCCCGCACGCGGCAGCTTTGACACCTGGCTCGCGTCCCACCCCCCCCTCCCCTCCCCCGGAATTCCCCCCCCCCCGGCTTTCAAAGCGCAACCCCGGCTTGTCCCAGCCGCCGGTCCGATGCTGGGAGAGGGATCCTGGCTTGCCTTCCTTTGCTGCTGCGTACTGCCAACGCCGTTCCCACCATTTGGGGAGAGGCGCGCGGGCGCTTTCAGAAGGGAGGTTTAGGGTAGGCAACGGCGCTCGCCCCTCCGCGTCCGCCCAGTCTGGGGAAGCGGGAAAGGCCCTGCCCCTCCCTGCGCCGCGCCAACCGGGTACGGCTGATGCCGAAGTGTCAGAAAAGCAGCAGGAGCCGCTCTCCAACGCCCGTTTTCGTCCGAATTTAGACAACAAAGGAGAGTAGCTTTTTCTCCCAGGGGCGGGGCGGGCAGCCTGGCGCCGCCCCTTCAGTTCTGGATTCCGCCAATGGCTCGGCGGAGCGGTCATGGCTTGCGCGGGCGCATTCCGTCCCTCCCCGCCCCCCCCCCCCCCCGTCGTCGCCCCCCCCCCCCCCATTATCGGCTCTGGGACGCTTACTCTGCGGCGGCTCTGATTTTTTTTCCCTCCCCCCCCCTCCGCCTCCCCTCTTTTTTCCCCTCCCCGCGTTGTCTGGCTGCAGCAGAGGCTCAGACAGAAGAAAGGAGGAGGAAGAGGAGGGGGAGGAGAAGGAAGAGGGGGAGAAAGAAAATCGCTGAGTGGAGGGAGGCTGGGAGGGGCCCCTTAAAGAAACGGTGCCATCGCCTGGCATTGTGGCCAGCGAAAGAACTCAAGGGGGGGAGGAAGAAAGCATCGCTGCGCTTCCCTCCATTCTCTGCACGCCACCCCCACTCCCCCCCCCCCCGGCTGGCCAGGAGAGAGGGGGGAAAAGCTTGGGGGGGGAAATCGCACGGGGGGGGCTGTTTTTTCTTGGAAAGCGTCTTATAAACCGGATTGCATTTGGAAAAAAAGAAAAGAAAAAGGAGGCGATATTTTTAAGGCACAAGGAAACTACAGTCGGGGAGGGGGAAGAAAAGAAAAGAAAAGAAAAGAGGAAAAAAACTCGGCGATTTCGGGGGAGGCTGCTTTGCAATCTTAAACCAGCGTCCAGGATTTGCTATCCAAAGCAAGGCGCTCGCGCGCCGCCGGTTTCTTTCCGCCGCTGCTGAACTGGCCATCTGCCGCCGCCTCTTCTTCCTTTGTGTCCGATTTTTTGGGGGGTGGGTTTGCTTCTTTTCCTCCCTCCCTTCCTCCCCCCCCCCCGCGCCCCCGGTTCGAGAGCAGAAGGGAAAGGAAGAGTAGGGCTTGATCCCCATACATTCTCACCGGGACCATGCCCAGTTCGTTGTTTGCGGACATGGAGCGGCATGGGGGCGGAGGAGGAGGAGAGACCCTGGATGACCAAAGAGCTCTTCAGATCGCCCTGGACCAACTCTCCCTCCTCGGCTTGGACAGCGACGAGACGGGCTCCTTTTACGAGAACGAGCCGCGCAAAAAGAGCGTGAACATGACCGAATGCGTCCCGGTGCCCAGCTCGGAACACGTCGCCGAGATCGTGGGCAGGCAAGGTGGGCTGTGCGGCTTGCTTTCTTTATTTGGGGATGGGTGGGAAGGGGGGGGGGTTGTCGGTCCGAGCATCCGTGGGGCGGGGGAGGGAAGGAAGCGGGGAGAGTTTAGCTGCAAAGTCTTCCCACCGTCACCCGCCCAGGTGGCTGGGCTTGGCCGAGAGTGGGTTTGAGTGGGGAGCTGTCCCCCGTGGCAAGAAAGGAAGGGAGGGAAGGAAGGAGGAAAGGAAAGGAAAGGAAGGAAGGAAACAAAGGAGGGAGGGAGGAGGAAAGGAAGGAAGGCTCGGTTTGGTGGGCACCCACCTGGGCGCCGAGTCGCAACGCCCCCTTTCCCGCGGCTTAGACAAAGAAAGTGCAGAAATGTGGCGGAGGCAATTGGCAGCCAGATGTGCCTCTTCGGCTCTTAAAATCAATTGCACGGGGCGGGGAGGGGGAGAGAAACGGGACGCTCCACCCAGCTCGTGGGCTGCTATTGTTGTTATTCGGCTCTTGGACACGCAGGGGTGTTCCTTCCGCGAGCCACGGGGATGCAACCGCGGGAGCTCTGAGCGCACATCCGCATTATACCCACGGGTTGCCTGCGAAGGAGTTGGGGCGACTTCTACTTGCGTCTCTCGGCATTTGTTTGCTTGTTCGGTATTTTTTGGGGGGGTAGGATGAGCGGGCTACGTGCGCTCAGCTGGCTCCCTTCGGGGCTGTCCGCGGAGCGGCTTTGCGGACTCGGCTCGCTCGGCGTTGCTGGGGAAGAGATGGAGCTGGAAGCGGGGGGCGGGGGGTGCCTTGTTGGTGATTTCTTCCTTTTTTTTTCTTCCGCCGAAGCGCCCGCTGGTGGCCAATGGGAATCAGCGGCCGCGGCCAGGCGGAGAGAGGGGCGGGTGTCCCTGGGGCTGATTTTCCTCGTTATTGGCACTGTGGTGTCATTACGGGAGGGGGCATCAGAGGGACAATAGCTTGGCCGGGTGACAGGTTGCCTCGTCCCCCCTCTCCGCGCGTTGCCCCCCGAGAAATGGAGGTGTAACCGGCTCTTCCCCCCCCCCCCCCCCCTCCTCCTCCGCCGCCACCCTCTCCTCCTCTCCAGGTTGCAAAATCAAAGCGCTGCGGGCCAAAACCAACACCTACATCAAGACGCCGGTGCGGGGCGAGGAGCCGCTCTTCGTGGTGACGGGCAGGAAGGAAGACGTCGCCATGGCCCGGCGGGAGATCATCTCGGCGGCGGAGCACTTCTCCATGATCCGCGCCTCCCGCAACAAAAGCACCGTCTTGAACGGCTCGGTGCCCAGCCCGCCCAACCTGCCGGGACAAACCACCATCCAGGTGCGGGTGCCTTACCGCGTGGTGGGCTTGGTGGTGGGCCCCAAAGGAGCCACCATCAAGCGCATCCAGCAGCAAACGCACACCTACATCGTCACGCCCAGCCGGGACAAGGAGCCGGTCTTCGAAGTGACGGGCATGCCGGAGAACGTGGACCGCGCCCGGGAAGAGATCGAGGCGCACATCGCCATGCGGACCGGCGGCTTGATCGAACTGATCGACGACAACGATTTCCACGCCAACGGCACCGACGTGGGCTTCGAGCTGGGCGGAGGGGGCGCAGGCAGCCTCTGGAGCAAGCCCACGCCGCCCCCTCCGCCTCCGCCTCCGCCCTCCTCTTCCTCCTCCTCCTCCTCCTCCTCCAGCAGCATCACCCCGACGCCCGCCCGCAAGCCTTTCTGCAGCTACCGCAACGACAGCTCCAGCTCGCTGGGCAGCGCTTCCACCGACTCCTACTTCGGCGGCAGCGCCCGCTTGGCCGATTACAGCCCGCCCAGCCCGGCCGCCTTGGGCTTCCCGCCCAACGGCAACGCCGCCCCCGCCAGCACCACCACCACCAACGGCTACGGCGTCTACGGGAGCCCCGCGGAAAGCGGCGACGGCTGCCCCGCCGAGCCGCCGCCGCCTTTCGATTCCCCGCCGGGCTTCGACCTGGCGCCGGCTCCCCCTCCGCAGCTGCTGTGGTCGCAGTACGAGCGCGCCCACCTGGCTTCCTCGCCCGCCGCCTTTCCCGGCTCGCCGGCGGCTCCCCCCGCCAACCTGGCCTTGTTGGTGAGCGGCGGGCAGCAGAGGCGGGGCGTCCCGCAGGCCCCGCCCCCGACGCGCCTGTCCCCGCCCCTCCACTCCGCTCCTGGGGGCGGGGCGCTGGCAGGCCCCGAGCAGCACCCGTTGGCGCGGCGGGTACGCAGCGATCCGGGCGGCCGCTTCTTAGCCGCCGCCGCCGCCGCCGCTTCCTGCTGCTCCTCGTCCTCCTCCTCCTCTTCGTCGTCCTCTTGCTCCTACCCGCTCTACGCCAACGGGCTGGGCTGCCACTTGCCCGGCTTGCCCTCCGACTGCTCGCCGCCGCCGCCTTCCTCCTCCTCCTCCTCCGCCTCCAGCTCGTCCTCCAGCTCGTCCTGCTCCTCGTCCGGGCTGCGTCGGAAAGGCAGCCGCGACTGCTCGGTTTGCTTCGAGAGCGAGGTCATCGCGGCGCTCGTGCCCTGCGGCCACAATCTCTTCTGCATGGAGTGTGCCAACCGCATCTGCGAGAGGAACGAGCCCCAGTGCCCGGTCTGCCACAGCGCCGTCACTCAAGCCATCCGCATCTTTTCCTAAAAAAAAAAAGAGAAGAAGCCCGCACCCGGACGGACGTCCGGACGATTTGCCCCGAGGACCGGTCGGTATTGGAGCAGGGTCTCGGAGTGGCAGAAAGGAGAACCTGGCATTTTTAAGGTGGCGATGATCATGTCTCCTCTATCTATCTCTATGTATGTATGTATGTATGTATACCTGGATGTACATATACAGGGGTGGGGTAGTCCTTGACTTACGACTGCAACCTTTCCTGTGGCTAAACGGGAAGATTTCCGAAAGTGAGTTTTTGCTCATCCACTTTTGCGACCTTCCTTGCCACCGTTGTTAAGTGAATCACTGCAGCTGATTGATCACCCAGTTGTTGAGTGAATCTGGCTTTCTCCCACTGACTTCGCTTGTCAGAAGGTCGCAAAAGGGGATCACGTGACCCCTGGGACGCAGCGATAGTCATAAGTATGGACCAGTTGCCAAGCATCTGGATTTTGGACCATCGGGATGCTGCTGCAACTGTGAAAAATGATCATAAGTCTCAAAATGAACTGTTGTAAGTTGAGGAATATATATATATATATATATATATATATATATATATATATGTATATGTATATGTATATGTATATGTATATGTATATGTATATGTATATTCAGTCTCTTGCCATTGAGGGTACCCGTAGCCTAGAATGGGTTGGAGGGAGGTATTTGTAACATCTGGTGCATGCTATTTATATTGAAGAATGACATTCTAGTAATAGAATAGTTTTAACACTTACGGCCAAACTTCCAAACATATTCTCTCTTTCTCTCTTTCTCTTTAAAAGTAGGAAATGCATATGGATTATGATGGTGTTTGAAACAGTTAGCATAATGTGTTGGTAGTTGCTAGATTGCTATTGAGATATATAAATCTATGGATGGATTATTTCCTTTGAATGTTCCTTGAAAGGGCAATTTTTTTTCCTGTGAAAGTAATAATAATAATGATAATAATAATAATAATAAACTTCTGATAACTGCAGCTTTATCAAAGAAAAAAGAAGAAAAAAGGAAAATGTAACATATCTCTCTTATACATATATATATATATATAAATACAAATAACTAAATATATATATATATATATAAAATGTTTAAAGGTTTTAAAAGATAAATTGCATTAATACAGATTGAAGTATTTTATTCTTTTTGACTTGAAAAATTATATTTCATATTGCAAAGATGTTTACAAGTATTTTAATTTAAGTTCAGTGAACTTTTTTGTAGCTGGGTTAAATCTTTTTTATTTTTAGTATGGCCTTATGGCAAAAAAAACACTGTATTATTTTGCTATCACACAATTGTGAATAGAATTACAAAATCATAAATGTGTAATACTTTGAACAGTATTCTGTTGGGATGGAGATTTTTTATAGGTTCAGAAAAAAATCTTTTAAATCTGCTTCACCCAGCATATTTTCTATTCAGTGATATGGAGCATATTTTATTCTATATTATTACAAAAAAAAATCAAAGCGTTTAAGCAAATGTCAACAGAAACTGTTGATGTTTTCTAACATTTGTATAAATAGAATTCAATGGAAATTACAAAAATTCTGTTGCACCACTATAGTTTAGTATTTCTATTTTAATACATTTGTTTACCACTTGTTTCTGTATATGTAGGTGATGTTAAATGTACTTTACTGAGCAAAGTTTAAAAACAAAGTATATTTTATTTTATAAAGGGCCTTTAACCTCATGGTCAAATACTAATATTATATTTGCTGAGACAAGATTTGAAATTGTATCAAGAGTTTTATTTTTCTGACATTTAAAGTTCTACATAATAAAGGCAAAACTTAAGTAATGGTGCTACTTCATGTTTTTTTAAATATTTCTATATAAATAAAATATTACTGAAAATATTACTTGTGTTTTGAGTAGATTTTGGTGTGTTCTTTTACTGAGTTTTGGATTTCCACAGAAGGAATGGGGAAAATACAATGTTTCTTTAATAGCATGTTATTATTTGAAAAGAGGTGTTGCGGATGGATTGGATACTTAGTAAATAGTAAAAAAAAAAATCTTCAATTGTAATAATAGTTCCTTCTGATTGTGTAAAATGGCCTGTTACACAGCATATATATGGGGGTGGGGGTTGGACTAGAAGACCTCCAAGGTCCCTTGCAACCAGTGGTGAGATTCAAATTATTTTACTACCGGTTCTATGGGCGTGGCTTGGTGGGTGTGGCAGGGGAAGGATACTGCAAAAATCTCCAGTCAGAGGTGGGGTTTGCTGGTTCTCTGAACTACTCAAAATTTCTGCTACCGGTTCTCCAGAACTGGTCAGAACCTGCTGAATATCCACCTCTGCTTGCAACTCTGTAATTGCTTTTAGACTGAAGGCAAAGCCAGACTTGTCACGTTTGTGGTGTATGGATAGGTAGATAATAGATAGATGATAGATATTAGATAGATAGATATTAGATAGATAGATAGATAGATAGATAGATAATAGATGATAGATATAGATAATAGATAAATAGATGGTAGATAGATAAATAATAGATAAATAAATAGATAATAGATAAATAAATAGATAATAGATAAATAAATAATAGATAATAAATA